CAGTGTAAAGCACACAGTTAACCCTTTGATCGCCCCACATGTTAACCCCTTCCTGCCTAGGGCCATTAGTACAGTGTCAGTGCTTTGTATTAGCACTGATCACTGTATTGGTGTCACTGGGGATGTTCGTGGCACCAAGTCAGTTCCCCCCCCCAGTGTCAGAATGCTCGCCGAGTCCCGCTATTATTAGTATAAAAAAATCCCAGTATCTATACCACCATCTGGAAACGCTGTAACTTTCACGTAAACCAATTAATTTACACATATTGGGATTTCTTTTAGGGAAGACACGGAGCAAATACATTTTGGCCTAAGTTTGATTTTTATTAATTTTTTTTAATGCACACTTATCCACTTAAGGCCCACCCACAGTACATTTACTGCTGGGCGGGCCCTGTGCGCAAAATCACATATATATATATATATATATATATATGCGCACACACACGCGTGATTTTGCATTTCCAGGTAGGGGGCGTGCGACCGCCCAACCCACACCTTTGCCAATTTTTTTTTATTGGATGTGTTTTATAGCAAAAAGTCCAAAATAGGTTTTTTGTTTTTTTTTTGCAAAATCGTCAGTCTTTTTTTGTTTATAGCCCAAAACATAAAAACTGCAGAGGTGATCGAAAACTGCCAGAAGAAAGCTCTATTTGTTGGAAAAACGGACGTAAATTTCATTTGGGTGTGGCGTTGCATGACCGCGCAATTGTCAGTTAATGTAACGTAGCGCAAAAAAATGTCCTAGTCAGGAAAGGGAGGAATCCTCAGGAGGGCGAGAGGTTAATGATCAGCAGCACACTTCTATTACATGACATTACAGCAAACATGGATTCCCCACGCAGGGGGTTTTTCTCCAACATACAATAACCAACAATGCTACCCCACCTGGCTACACTTCAGCAGCTCCGCCGCTCATGTAGATGTAACACCCGGAGATCTCAGAGAGGACTTCACACCCCACAGCGGCCATTCTCCTCCCCTCAGCCTGGAAAAGGCGGGAACACAGAGCAGGTCTGCCTGAGGGAAAGCTGGAAGGAACAGGACAGCCAATCACAGGAGAGGAGCTGAGAGGCGGGAACACATGAGGGAACTGCTGAGAACTGTGAGGTGACAGGACAGCCAATCACAGGAGAGGAGCTGAGAATCGGGAAACACATGAGGGAACTGCTGAGGAACCGTGAGGGGAGGGACCATAACGGCTCAGCCAATTACAGGACAGGAGCTGAGAAGAGGGAACACATGAAGGAAACTACTTGGAACTGTGTGGTGAGTGACAGGACTGCTCAGCCAATCACAGGAGAGGAACTGAGAGGCACATGAGAGAACTATTGGGAAACTGTGAGGTAAGTGACATGACGACTCAGCCAATCACAGTGAAGGAGCTGAGAGAGGAGGACACGCTTGAGAAAACTGCTGGGAACCGTGAGGGGAGGGACAAGACTGCTCAGCCAATCACAGAGGAGGAGCTGAGAAGAGGGACTGCTGGGAACCTAGAGGTGAGTGACAGCACTATTCAGCCAATCACAGGAAAGGAGAGGTGGGAACTGCTGGGAACTGTGAGGGAGTTGCAGGACTGCTCAACCAATCGCAGGAGATAGAAACTGAGAGGCGGGAACACTTGAGGGAACTTGTGGGAACCGTGAGGAGAGGGACAGGACTGTTCAACCAATGACAGGAGAGGAGCTCAGAGGCGGGAACACATGAAGGAACTGTGAGGTGAGTGGCAGGACTGCTCAAACCAATGACAAGATAGGAGCTGAGAGGTGGGAACACTTGAAGGGACAGCTGTGAGGTGGGTGACAGGTCTTCTCAGCCAATTACCACAGAGCAGCTGGGAGGTGATAATGTTTGAAGTGATAACTGTGAGGTGAGTGACAAGTGTCCTCAGCCAATCACAGGAGAGGAGGGAGTGGGGGAACACCCTGAAGGGACTGCTGGGAACTGTGAGGTGAGTGTCAGACTTCCCTCAGCCAATTACCACAGAGCAGATGGGAGAGGGAACAAGTGAGGTTATAAATATAAGAGGGTGATGGAGAGTATCTGGGAGGTGGGAACACAGCTGTGAGGGGGACAAGCTCTCTCAGCCAATCACAGGAGACTATCTGGGAGGTGGGAACACAGCTGTGAGGGGACAAGTTCTCTCAGCCAGGAGAGTAGCTGTGAGGCAGGGCAGCACTAAAGGGAGTGACAGGTCTCTCAGCCAATCGTAGGAGAGAATCTGGGAGGTGGGAACACCTGAGGTAACTGTTGTGAGGTGAGTGACAAGCTCTCCCAGCCAATTACTGGAGAGTAGATGGGAGGTGTGATGGCTGTGAGGTGAGTTACAGGTTTCCTCAGCCAATCACAGGAGAGGAACTAGGAGACTTGAACATCTGTGAGGTAAATGACACACTCAGCCAATCACAGGAGAGTATTTGGGAGGCGGGAACACCTGAGGTAACAGGTGACAATCTCAGCCAATCACAGGAGAGTATTTGGGAGGCGGGAAACACCTGAGGTAACAGGTGACAATCTCAGCCAATCACAGGAGAGTATTTGGGAGGCGGGAACACCTGAGGTAACAGGTGACAAGCTCTCTCAGCCTATCACAGAGAGAGTATTTGGGAGGCGGGAACACCTGAGGTAACAGGTGACAAGCTCTCTCAGCCTATCACAGAAGAGTATTTGGGAGGCGGGAACACCTGAGGTGACAAGCTCTCTCAGCCAATCACAGGAGAGTATTTGGGAGGCGGGGAACACCTGAGGTAACAGGTGACAAGCTCTCTCAGCTAATTACTGGAGGTGGGACAGCTCTGAAGGCAATGGCGAGTCTCCACTCAGCCAATCACAGGAGAAGAAATGGAAGGTGCAAAACGCCTGTCAGATGATTGGCAAACTGTCTCAGCCAATAACAGGAGAGGAGCTGTACATACTATAGTTAGTCTGGCTGAAAAAAAAAAAAGTCCATCCAGTTCAACAAAAAAAAAAAAAAAGTTATAATCCTACACCCACAGTTGATCCAGAGGAAGGCAAAAAAAAAACAGCAAAGCACGATCCAATTTGCTCCTGCAGGGGAAAAAATTCCTTCCTGATCCCCTGAAAGGCAAAAGGGATTTTCCCTGGATCAACTTTCCCTATAAATGTTATATCCAGTTATATTCTGTGTATCCAAGAAACAATCCAGGACTTTCCCTACAGCAATCCACTGAGCTGGCCACAACCACCTCTGGAGGGAGTCTATTCCACATTCTCACAGCTCTTACTGTGAAGAAACCTTTCCGTGTTTGGAGATTAAATCTCTTTTCCTCCAGACGTGAAGATCACCCCCCTTGTCCTCTGTGATGACCTCAGGGGGAATAACTAACTACCCGAGTTCACTATATGAACCACTGATGTGTTTATACATGGAGATCATATCCCCCCCTATGTATTATACATGGTGATCATATCCCCCCTTATGTATTATACATGGAGATCATATCCCCCCTTATGTATTATACATGGAGATCATATCCCCCCTTATGTATTATACATGGAGATCATATCCCCCCCTTATGTATTATACATGGAGATCATATCCCCCCCTTATGTATTATACATGGAGATCATATCCCCCCTTATGTATTATACATGGAGATCATATCCCCCCCTATGTATTATACATGGAGATCATATCCCCCCTTATGTATTATACATGGAGATCATATCCCCCTTATGTATTATACATGGAGATCATATCCCCCCTTATGTATTATACATGGTGATCATATCCCCCCTTATGTATTATACATGGAGATCATATCCCCCCTTATGTATTATACATGGAGATAGTATCCCCCCTTATGTATTATACATGGAGATCGTATCCCCCCTTATGTATTATACATGGAGATCGTATCCCCCCTTATGTATTATACATGGAGATCGTATCCCCCCCTTATGTATTATACATGGAGATCATATCCCCCCTTATGTATTATACATGGAGATCGTATCCCCCTTATGTATTATACATGGAGTTAGTATCCCCCCTTCTGTATTATACATGGAGATCGTATCCCCCCTTCTGTATTATACATGGAGATCATATCCCCCCTTATGTATTATACATGGAGATAGTATCCCCCCTTATGTATTATACATGGAAATCATATCCCCCCTTATGTATTATACATGGAGATCATATCCCCCCTTATGTATTATACATGGAGATAGTATCCCCCTTATGTATTATACATGGAGATCGTATCCCCCCTTATGTATTATACATGGAGATCGTATCCCCCCTTATGTATTATACATGGAGATCGTATCCCCCCTTATGTATTATACATGGAGATCGTATCCCCCCTTATGTATTATACATGGAGATCGTATCCCCCCTTATGTATTATACATGGAGATCGTATCCCCCCTTATGTATTATACATGGAGATCATATCCCCCCTTATGTATTATACATGGAGATAGTATCCCCCTTATGTATTATACATGGAGTTAGTATCCCCCTTATGTATTATACATGGAGATCGTATCCCCCCTTCTGTATTATACATGGAGATCGTATCCCCCCTTCTGTATTATACATGGAGATCATATCCCCCCTTATGTATTATACATGGAAATCATATCCCCCCTTATGTATTATACATGGAGATAGTATCCCCCCTTATGTATTATACATGGAAATCATATCCCCCTTATGTATTATACATGGAGATAGTATCCCCCCTTATGTATTATACATGGAGATAGTATCCCCCCTTATGTATTATACATGGAGATCGTATCCCCCCTTATGTATTATACATGGAGATCATATCCCCCCTTATGTATTATACATGGAGATCATATCCCCCTTATGTATTATACATGGAGATCATATATCCCCCTTATGTATTATACATGGAGATCATATCCCCCCTTATGTATTATACATGGAGATCATATCCCCCCTTATGTATTATACATGGAGATCATATCCCCCCCCTTATGTATTATACATGGATGGTATCCCCCCCTTATGTATTATACATGGAGATGGTATCCCCCCCTTATGTATTATACATGGAGATCATATCCCCCCTTATGTATTATACATGGAGATAGTATCCCCCCTCATGTATTATACATGGAAATCGTATCCCCCCTTATGTATTATACATGGAGATCGTATCCCCCCTTATGTATTATACATGGAGATCATACCCCCCCCCTTATGTATTTATACATGGTGATCATATCCCCCCCCCCCACTTAATCTCTTCTTCTCAAGAGAGAATAAATTCAGTTCCTCTAATCTTTCTTCATAGCTGATCTCCTCCCAAATTCAAGTATATACCGCGTCCACCGCCACCCCTCTGTCCAGGTATACCGCGTCCACTTGCCACCCCCCTCTGTCCAGGTATACCGCGTCCACCCCCACCCCTCTTTCCCGGTATACCGCGTCCACCGCCACCCCTCTGTCCAGGTATACCGCATCCACCGCCACTCCTCTGTCCAGGTATACCGCGCGTCCACCGCCACCCCTCTGTCCAGGTATACCGCGTCCACCGCCACCCCCCCTCTGTCCAGGTATACCGCGTCCACCGCCACCCCTCTGTCCAGGTATACCGCGTCCACCGCCACCCCTCTGTCCAAGTATACCGCGTCCACCGCCACCCCCTCTGTCCAAGTATACCGCGTCCACCGCCACCCCTCTGTCCAAGTATACCGCGTCCACCGCCACCCCTCTGTCCAAGTATACCGCGTCCACCGCCACCCCTCTGTCCAAGTATACCGCGTCCACCGCCACCCCTCTGTCCAAGTATACCGCGTCCACCGCCACCCCTCTGTCCAAGTATACCACGTCCACCGCCACCCCTCTGTCCAAGTATACCGCGTCCACCGCCACCCCTCTGTCCAAGTATACCGCGTCCACCGCCACCCCTCTGTCCAAGTATACCGCGTCCACCGCCACCCCTCTGTCCAAGTATACCGCGTCCACCGCCACCCCTCTGTCCAAGGTTTTGCTCACCTCCTCACAAAAAGAAATCAGATTTGTTTGACAACTTCTGTCTTTCATGAATCCATGCTGTCTGTTGCTTAAAATATTTTTTTCCAGCAAGAATATCTCAACTGGTAATTGCGCGGTCGTGCAATGCTGCACCCAAATAAAATTTATGTCCTTTTTTCACACAAATAGAGCTTTCTTTTGGTGGTGTTTGATCACCTCTGTGGTTTTTAATTTTTGCGCTATAAACAAAAACAGACCACAAATTTTGAAAAAAATATATATTTTTTTCACTTTTGGTTATAAAAAATATCCAATAAACTCAAAGTTAGTCATAAATTTAGGCTAAAATGTATTCTGCTCCATATCTCTGGTAACAATAAATCTCAATATGTGTATATTCATAGGTTTGTGTGAAAGGTATAACATCTACACACTGTGATATATATATTGGAATTTACACAGCTTTTACTTTCTGACTGCCTATCACATTTCTTGAGGTGCTAAAATGCCAGGGCAGTACAACCCCCCCCCCCCCCCCAAATGACCCTTTTTTGGAAAGTAGACACCCCAAGGATTTTGCAGAGAGGGCATGTTGCATCCATGATGCATTTTATTTTTTGCCACAAATCATTTGAATATGACAATTTTTTTTCTCTTACACATAGTTGTCACTTTGATATATTGCTCATGCATGCCAGGGGTAGATGTGGAATTACACCCCAAAACACATTCTCCTACTTCTCCCGAGTATGGGGGCACCACATGTGAGAGACTTCTTGGCAGCCTAGCTACATACAAGCCCACAAAATCCAATGGCCCCCTCCAGGCTTTCAAAGGGCATATTTCCTCATATCACTTCCCCACTACCTATCACAGTTTCGGAGGCTCTAAAATGCCTGGATAGTACAAACCCCCCAAATGACCTCTTTTTGGAAAGTAGACACCCCAAGGAATTTGATAAGAGGAATGGGGAGTATTTTACAGATAACATTTTTGTCACAGGGTTTTGAAAACAAAACTAAAAAAGAAAAATACATTTTTTTTGTTTTCTTTCTTCATTTTCTAAAAACACGTGGCAACAAATGAGATCTGCAATATACTCACCATGACTCTAAGTAAATACATTGGGGTGTCCATTTTCCAAAAAGGGATCATTTGGAGGGGGGGGGGGGGCTGCTTCTACTATCTGGACATTTCAGGGCCAACATTAGAACCTTATGCCACACATCACACAATCTTGAAGACCAAACCTTTTCTGACACTTATTTTGTTCACATGAAAAAAACTATTTTTTTTGCTAGAAAATTACTTTGAACCCCCAAACATTATATATTTTTTTAAAGCAGAGGTCCTAGAGAATAAAACGGTGGGTGTTGAAATTTTTTACATCACGCAGTATTTGCGCAGTGATTTTTCAAACACATATCTTTTGGGAAAAATACAATTTTTAGAATTTTAATGCACAAAAACACAATAGATTTTCCCCAATTTTTTGATAAAATATAAAAGATGATGTGACGCTGAGTAAATAGATACCCAACATGACGTGCTTTAAAATTGCGCATGCCTGTGCAATGGCAACAAAGTACATACATTTTTATTATCGATAGGCAACTCTTTAAAAGCCTTTCCAGGTCACCAATTTATATTAACACAGGAGGTCTGGTGGTGGAGGAGTACTGTGGATGTTCTGAAGTCCGTTACCAGCGTATAGAGGTATCAAGATCACACAGACGGCCAACTTACTGCAGGAGAGTGCTGCAACACCCAATGTGCTATTTGACCTACCATTCAAGATGGTCATGGTAAATGTGGTGAGTGGGGTAAATTATGGTGAGTGGGGTAAATTATGGTGGTAAATGATGTGGTGAGTGGGGTAAATTATGGTGGTAAATTATTGTGGTGAGTGTGGCTCTGGAGGGGGAGCACTAATTGGAGCACTTCACACAGAGGATTGCTAAGGATTAGAAGATTAAATATTGTATCACCTGGTATTCACATTGGATGCGGATGGGGATATTTTTTCCATATGGGAATTTTTTATGTTTGCACATTGATTGGGACTTTAATATACATACATATTGTCTTTTGCATACAAGTTCACTGTACATATATATTGTTGGTATTGTATATTTACTATTATTTATTTTATAGCACAATTGTTGGTTGAGCACACTGAGTATATATATTGGTTCCCTATTTATGATTTACTGTAGTCACTGGGCAGGAAGGATATATTTGTCGGCACATAGGGCATTGTAGTATGTGCACATTTGTGGGGACCCTATATGTAGTAGGGTAGTTTATTTATTTATTATTTACTGTACTAATGGCACTGGGCAGGAATGGGGTTAACATCTGGGGCGATCAAAGGGTTAACCGTGTGCTGTGTGTGTTTTACTATGGGGCTGTGTATGTGCTTTATATCGTAAGCACTCTGCTTTGTATGGCTCTGCTATGCAGAGCCATACAAAGCAGTGTGGTGAGCACCAACAGGGGAGAGAACTGTATTGTTTACATACAGTTTCTCTCCCCCTGTCGTTATTACTCTGTGATCACCACCCAGGACCCCGTGGTTGACAGCCGAGGCCGCGCACCCCCTGCCTGGAAATGCGAAATCACGTAAATATAAACGTAATTTTGCACACCCCTGCCGCCCTGCAGCAGTATTTTTTTGCTATAGGGCGGCGGGAAAGCGGTTAATTTTAGTCAATTTTAGCCATCTACAATTGTTTTAGTTTCAGTTGTATTTTAGTCATCTGCATCAGTGTGTGGATTATAAGAATCGCCTCTTTTTGTCAACTCCTCTCTCTCTCCTCTCTCATTGACAATAGAGGTAAATATCACACTAAGACTCCCCTACGGGCAGGACCCCGATGTAAGGATGCCCTATGTGGGTGTGGGTGGGTAGGGTGATGTCTCTCCAGTCGGTTGTGCCCAATGGTGGATACTGGTGGTGAACCCTTTTAGGGTTTGGGGCTTCTGCCTTTCTGGTACGGCCTTAAGGTTGGAATAATAGGAAAGAAGAAGAATGCACTTTTGATGGTAGGTTAAGAGGCATTTATTTAGATTATCAACAAGTACATCAAACCAATGCGTTTCAGGAGAAAAGACTCTTCCTTCCTCAGGGTTGTTGCTGCACACTATTAAATGGAAAAGATGACCCCACCGGTTATATATTTTCCAGGTTATGGAAGAAAATTGACAGAGTGACGGCTGTTATCGCTGCCCCTGGAACGACAGCTGCCACTCTGTCAATTTTTTTCCAAAACGCTGGACAGGCATTGTATGGGGCAGCCTTATACTGGGGTGTGTTTTGTCCTGTCAATGCACCACAGGACACCACCAGACACCTCAGAAAATAGGCAGAGAAGGCATCTGCACAGCGCCCCTCTATGAAGGATGCTTAGACACGTGCCTACTCTGCCTAAATCCGACCCTGCACATAGGTTTAGGAAGTCCTGTCAATAGCAGTAAATACTATTCACTGCTATTGTGTAAGGGACAGTGCACATATGTGCGCCGTCTCAGGGCTTTGGTCGGCTCCGTTCGCGGCCGGTCAGCGGGTGCGCAGTCGCTATTCTGTGATGACACCAAGATGGCGGCCTGTGTGCTTCCTGTATTGCGGTTGACGTCCCCAGCGTACTCTACGTGTTACGTCACATGTCGTAGAGTACGCTGGGGACGTCAAGCCACGATACAGGAAGCACACGGGCCGCCATCTTGGTATAAGAAAACAGCATTCGAACACACAAAGAGTTTATCCTGTAGTGTCCCAGTTGGACTCTATCAAATGTGAGTGGAAATCTTTGTATTTTAACAAAGGTGTTTTATTTACAATACTTCACTATGAGGAGTATCTTTTTCATATGTATGGAGTTGGAGGAGATAGTAAGCTGACAGTGGAAGAGCAGTTACATCTATATACCTACAAAAAGGGGGATTTGTGAAAAGAGATTCACAGAAAAGCGGCTACATTATGAACAGACCGTGACACTCAGAAAATAATTTTCCAAAAATTATGCTTTATTACACAGATATAAATATGACATATGGGCATTCGCCCTGGTTTACCATCACCTCAGTATGAGACAATAACACACAGACCTAAAACCATATAAAATGACATCAAGACCGGTCTAAATGCATGTGCAACAGAAAAAATGACTGCAAGAGTCTAATATCTCTGTAGTACATACACATAGGTAAACACTTCCCAAAAGAGGTGTATCCAAAAATTATACCATGGGTATACCATAATATTGAATATATTACTTATAACAATATCATAATGGTGAATCCCGAACAGGGAATCCAAAAATTATACTATGGATATACGTATATCACATGTATGCAATGCAGTAAGTACAATAAGCGTGAAGAGGAAAGCAATAAGCCTCAGGCCTGTTTGGAAAAAGACATGAATGTCAAATATATGATGCAATACATTCCTGTGCCGGCACACTTGGTTGGGGCCCGTTCATCTGTAATGTGAACAGCTGTGTCATAGAGCTCTTAAATGAAAATAAGCCCCATTTATTCCCAGGATGGGAGAAAAGGTGCAGTTTGCAGCACTCTGCTTGTAATGGTGTCTTCACCACTGTATGTGGACTATACACCACCCTTTGTAGGAAAAGCAAGACATATCCCAAAGAATCTTCTGCCTGTTGACCTATATGCGGTATGTCCTGTATCCTACACAAAGCACCATGATGTCCCCATCCTGTAGTG